GTGGAAGAAGATACAGACTGAGGTACTTTGTATGCCCAGACACTCTGGGAGGTCCTACATGGACCTTGAACATACACTTCTAACTCATGAGAAAACACCAGTTTTTGAGAATAATGAACAATTGTCTTTGTATGTTTCTTTCCACCCATCTTCCATCATGTCATTCACCAATCCAGAACTGAATTTGTAGTGATAAAAAATGGGAAGAATCTACAGGCCAAATAAGAAATCAGGAAAATTTGAGGGTGCTAGTGGTCCAAAACAGGAATTCCACTCAGTACAGAAGCATCCTTCTCCACTTTTCTTAAATTTACTTTTTTTCTGAGCTCCAGTTTTTGCTATCAGATCTTTACTTTTCTTCATATCTTTTTGGATCCCAGCTTGCTTTTCTGCCTTCTCTTTGATAGAAGGAATTTTATTTGTGTTAACAGGCACCTCCTTCAATTTTTGAAGTCTCTTCTGAACTTTTTCCTGAGTTATCCTAGAGTCTGAATGCTTGGCTCATAACCCACTTTTCAGCCTATCCAGAGTTAGTAGTGTCCTTTAAAACTATATTGCATTCAATTCTTGCTTATTTTCTTGTGAGGCTGAAACTTCACTTTTGTTTTCAAACCTGTTTTTTTTCTTTTATTTTTTTAAAAAATATCTGAACTAATTTTCTCACGTGGATTTTCCTGGATCAGTCTGCATCTCAGTCCTCATGTCCCTCTCTCTTCTGCTCAACAATTTTATCACATGTTATTTTAAATCGAATCAAGCCTTCCAGACTGTAGCCAGGAGGCGGGATGGAACCAGTTTCTAAAAAACACCAGCTGAGCCTGGCTTAGGCCCAGGCTGATGGCAGCTGGAGATTCAGCAACGATTTAGCTTGTGATAATCCCTGCCTCCATCCCACCTCCCAGCCACAGCCTGGGAGGCTTGATTCGATTTAAAACAACATGCGATAAAGTCGTAAGATAAGTAGCTATACTTTTCCTTTCCATTCCTCTTAATATTTGGGCTAAACTGCTATGTAGCTGGGAACTCTGGAAGTTTAACCACATTGCAGAAACTTTTATAAGTGTTCTGCATAGGGTTTCATAATTGCAACATTTGCTTCCCACCTTCTTTAGGTATGGATGGGTTCTAACCGGTCTGCCCTAAGGACAGACAGAGATGAACAGTAAACATGATATCTTCAAAAGCTTCTTTAATATATAATTGTGCAGCCTTAACAGGAACATATCAGTTCAGAGACATTATACAGACTCACTTCTTAAACTGATTCTGGCTGAATCTATGAGGAAAACTACACCCATTCACAAAGGAAAGGGAATTGCTAATGCAATTGCTCAGAGAAGGTCCTATGTATTACAACAACTTTCACACATGTGCTTTAAGGGTAGCTGGCTGGCTGTTTCTTTTAATTAAATATTTTTGTGTAAATTGTTAATGCACTTATTTCCCTGAGCCAGTAGTGGTTTGAATGCTGGGAGATCAGGGTTTGAATCTCCACTTGGCCTTAAAAACTCACCTTGAACAAATCACACTTTCTTGGCCTCTGAGGAAGCTAATGGCAAACCTCCTATGAACAAATCTTGCAAAAAAACAAAAACAAAACTCTGTGGTAGACTGGTTTCCTCTTGTTGTTGAAACAGAATGTATCAACAGAGAATAGACTTTAAATTTGTATGAAGGCTTCCTCCCCCATCCCAGCTTTCTAATGTTTGCAAAGTCTTTGTGGCCTTACTCAAAATTTTCAGAACTAAACTAACCTTTGGAATAGCCCTGGTTTCAACAAAAGACCTTTCCAGGTCCAAATCCATATCAGGATAATATCTTTATTAGACCAGCCAAAGGGGTACAAAATTGTATGCAAGATCTGTCATCTAATACATTTCCTTGGGAGTAAGTCCAATTGAGCATCTCAGTTCAAGAAGGATATTGACAAGCGGGAATGTGTCCCAGAGAATGGCGACCAAGATAGTCAAAGATCTGCAAACCCAGTCTTATAAGAAACAACTTAGGGATCTGGGTATGTTTAGCTGGAGAAAAGAAGACTGGGATGACATAATAGCCGTCTTTAAATATCTGAAGGGATGTCATGTAGTAGACAGAACCATCTTGTTTTCTGCTGCTCCAGAGACTAGAACACAAACCAGTGGATTCAAATTACAAGAAAATAGATTTAACCTAAACATTAGGGGGGGGAATTTACTGTAAGAGTTGTTTGGCAGTGGAATAATTGCCTCAGAGTGGCAGATGTTGGATGGACATCTTTCAAGAGTGATTTAGTTGTGCACTCTTTCATGGCAGAAAGTTGGATTAGATGGCCCTATGAACTCAGTGTTTCCTCATAAGCAGGCATGTATAGGACAGTATTCTCATTAAAATTATTGAGTCATGGCAACTCTGTGGATGAGACATCTCCAAGACCCCTGCCTTCTATTGCTCTGCTTAAGTTCTGCAGATTCAGGCTGGTCTATCCATCTGGTGTGTGGACTTCCTCTCTCTCTAGTACCTTCTACCTTTTCTAGCATTATTGTCTTTTCTAGTGAGTCATGCCTTCTCATGATGTGGCCAAAGTACAATAGCCTCAATTTAGGGCCTTTGCAGACTGCCAGGAACAGTGCAAATTGAGTCCACTTTAACTGCCCTGATTCAATGCTAGGGAGTTATGGGAACTGTAGTTTATTGTGGCACCAGAGCTCTCTGACAGAGAAGTCTCAATGTCTCAGAAAAAGTGGACTCAATTTGCACTATTTCTGGCAGTCTGCAAAGGCCCTTAATCATCTTGGCTTCCAAGGAGATTTCAGGCTTGATTTGTTCTAGGACCAATTTGTTTGTCTTCCTGGCCATCCATGGTATCCTCAGCACTCTTCTCCAGCATATCTCAAATGAGCCATTTTTCTTTTTATCTGCTTTCTTCGCTGTCCAGCTGTCACATCTGTATATGGTGATGGAGAATACAATGGATTGGCTGATTCTAACTTTAGTTGTACATCTTTACTCTTCAGGATCTTGTCTAGTTCTTTCATCACATGCACACACACACACACACACAAATTAGATGGTGATACTGATATTTTCATAGCATTGTGTCATGGAAGTTAAAGAGGTGTCAAACTGCATTAGTTCTACAGCACTGATGCAGCCTTAATTTTAAAACCGGTTTTCCTGATCTAGTTTAAAATTTTAAAGTGGGCGGCATCCTGATATTATCAGAAGGATTTAGCCACTGAAATCACCACCCTGGTCCATCCTGGGTCCATCCTGGAACAATGATAGTTAAAGTAGAAGTATATTGTGCTAGAAAAGTGTTTTGTGAAAGAGACCTAAGTCTAAAGTGCAACAACCTTGTGGCCACAATATCAAGCCTAACTTTAGTACATTTTCGCCCTTTCCTATATCTCCCGTTTTTTGTACCATCAAGACTGGGAGCGGGTTCCTAATAAAGATTTTTCCTGACTGTGTGAGAAAGAAGAAATAGGATCCTATTGCCTATGCCCTTAGACCAACACTCCTATGTTATGCTGATGGTTCCATTATTCAACAATGTTGCTGGGCAAGCCTTTCATAACAATGCAGGTGTACTCCCCTTCTCTTTAAGTCTTAAAATGTGGTGCTTTTCAAATAAAGGTGCATTCTTTCAATGAAAGATGTGATAATTTGCAAGAAAAGCAGTAATGCTTTTTTTGCAAGAGCACAAAATATTTGCAGCCAACAGAGACATAACATTTTAACTCAGGACTCTTCATATGAACTGTTTGCCTGTCCTACATACTCGGAAGAAAGGGAAAAAACAGCTTCTCAGAACTAGTTTTCAGAGCTTCAGTCGATAATTATAAAGAAAATCAGCTTTGACTCCCTGGTTTGTTTCAGAATACCTGGAGCACCCTCTTCTGGCAATACAGTAACTGAAGCAAGATTTTGCAACTAGGGAGTTTATCACACGGGGGAAATCCCGTGCGGAATCGGGGCTTTAAATTAAACAAAACCCGCAAAAGCGGGTGTTTTTTCAGATGACGTCGCTGTGAAAAGGAGGTTAATCCAAACAGAAATTAGACAAAAACTGCTTCTTTTTACTTTCGGAAGATCCTGAAAGTAAAAAGAAGCAGTATTTGTCTAATTTCCATTCTGATTAATCTCCTTTTAACTGTGCTGGAGTTTATCACATGGGGAAATCCCATTGATAAATTGCTTCTGCTTTTGCGGTTTTTTTCCAATTTAAAGCAGCGTTTCTGCACTGGACTCCCCGTGTGATAAACTCCTAGTTTATGTTCTCCAAACATTGAGCTTGGGAAAGTTAATTTTCTGGAGTACAAATTCAAAAGTTTGTTTGTATGTGTGTGTAATTCTGCATTTGCACTATTTTCAACAAATTTGTAGCACTGGTGGCACAGTGGTTAAATGCCTATACTGCATTCACTCACTCACAAACCACAAGATTGTAAGTTCAATACCAGCCAAGAGCTCCAGGTTGACTCAGCCTGGCATCCTTCTGTAGGTCACTAAAATAATCACCCAGCTTGTTGGGGGCAGTTAGCTTACACATTGTAAACCATTTAGTACACTGGTAAGCAGTATAGAAATGTATTTGCTATTGCTAAAAAAGTGACATGCACAGGGTCTTTCCATTTTTCATTTTCTGCTTGTTTCTGAAAAGTTTTCTGTTCATGAAGTGCATCACAATCTTTACTATATTTACCATTCCATCCCAGCTGGTCTTACTCTTCATTTTTTTTTTTTTTGACAAATGGGGAGCCAGGGTTGAGAAAGAACCATTTGGCCAAGGCCACAAAAGGAGGGTATGACAATGTGGCTTTGAACTCAAAATTTCTCCAATCCAGCTCTTGTAACTCCAGGTGCCCACTGTTGTTTTTTTAAAAAATATTTTATAATTTAATTTGCCTTCCACAGAAAACAGCAAAACTTTCAGAATATACAGCAAAGAAGTTTGCATTAGGTAATCTGTTTAGAATGTAATACTAATACTGGCAAGAATATGGCTTCACTGGAGAGCCAGTGTGGCATAGTGGTTTGAGCGTTGGACTATGACTCTGTTGATCAGGGTTCGAATTCTGCTCAGCCATAGAAACCCAATGGGTGATTTTGGGTGAGTCACATGCTCTCAGCCCCAGAAAAACCCATGATAGGTTCACCTTAGGGTTGCTATTAATTGGAAATTATTTGAAGGCGCACAACAATAACAGGTGCCTTCACTGGCCACATGAAGTGTACAGGGGATCTCCTTCCTGCATCCTGTAGGTATGATCAACTTTCACTGCTACTGATGGACTACTTATTCCAATAGTACCTCACCACTGGCTAGAAATGCCTGGCGGGCCACAGGTTATGCATTCCTTTCTTCCTCTTTGATATTTTGGGACTGTTGCTCAGTGGCCCATATAGCAGAAACACCCTTAGTTCCTGGCCCCTCCATCTGAATGGTTCAGGGAGCAAGTGATATATGAGAGACTTCATGCTGCATCCTTAAAGAGCTCCTGGCAGTTAGATAATACTGGACTAGATGAACAGTAGTCTCCTCATGTATGCAGCAGCTACCTCTGTTCTTGTGAGTTGCTGTTTCCTATAATGTTGCAACTAGGCATACCTGATATGGAAGTTTCCAACCTGCCATGTCTACTACTCTCCTTTACTGGCCATGTGCCATAATAAAATATTTATTTTATTTACTACTCTCCCTGACAGCAGTATATTCACTTAGCCTCCTCCCGGTCAAACTGCCACACATTACAGCAGACTAGTCCTTCCTCACCAGGAATTCCTGTGTTGTGCTTTGTGTGCAGACGCTGCAAACAAACCATGCAAATAGCCATGCAAGAAGGTTTCAAAAAGAGATGGTTTCTGGAAATAAATGCAAGGGAGAGAGCTGATATGGACACAGTCCAAATTCATTCATAAAGGAATGTTAGTCTACACTCCCTTTTAGAAAGGGAAAGGAAATGACATGTTACATATCTCTGACATTTTTTTTAATCCAATGGACTAATTAGATGCTAATTCAGTGTCTATAGCCTTTAAAGACATTTTATGCTCTTCTCAGAACTAATGTTACTGAGAGTTCATTCACACTTAGGAATAAATCATTTTTTTAACTGGATCTTTTTGAATTGATGAAGTGATTTGAAACCAAAGCAATGTTCACACTATGTTTGCCATGATTGAATATGTTTGTGTTCCCATCAAAGTTCACATTTGAATGGTGATCGGAGCCAGCACCAGGAGGGAGATGCAGTGGCAGAGAATTGGCAAAGGGGTGGAACTTACCCACCCCAAAGGTCTTTTGAAATTGCCCCTTCCCCCCCCCCTCTCAGCACTGGCAGCAGTTCTGTGGATCTCTTTGATTTTAAATTTCCCGCGCTGCCAAAGTGGCCCCTTTAAACCAGCCTGCAGCTGTTTTCCACTTCTGTTGGTGATTTGGTGCCCCTTTTCCCTTTGGAGCAGAGGTCAGGGAAGTTGAGGAGAGGGGTCTCTATGGGGGGGGGCATGGTGCACTGTGTTTTTTGTTTTGTTTTGTTTTGTTTTGTTTTGTTTTGTTTTGTTTTGTTTTGTTTTGTTTTGTTTTGTTTTGTTTTGTTTTGTTTAAAACCTGAAAGACCCTGTGATCCTGCACAGGATCTCAGGACCATGGGTTCACAGGTGTGGGAAGTCTTTGGTGCAGTGTGGGGAGGGAACTGCCCTGGCATGCATTAATCCTTGGTTGTGGCTTTCCCCCATAGCATGCATGGATCCCATGGATTAATGCATGCCAGGACAATTCACTCCTACACTGCACCAAAGACTTCCCACACCTGTGAACCCATGAGATCCTGTGCAGAAGTGGAAAGCAGCTTCAAAATGCCCCCCAGAGACCCCTCTCCCCGACTTCCCCAACCTCTGCCCCAAAGGGAAAAAGGGCACCAAATCACCAGCAGAAGTGGAAAGCAGCTGCAGGCTGATTTAAAGGGATCATTTTGACACTTTGAAATTTAAAATCAAAGAGATCCACGTAACTGCCACCAGTGCTGGGGCGGTTTGAAAAGATCTTTGGGATGGGTAAGTCCCGAATGCGATTGGCAGCTGTTCACATTTGGGGCAAGTCGCATCTTTTGAAAAGATATGCTAAAAGAACCTTTCCAAGATGATCCGGGCCAAGAGGCTTGTGCCGGTTCACCCCGATTCACCCTGGATACACTCGGGGTGAAATCGTTTTGCATGTGAATGAGGCACTTTTCACCCAGTTTGCAAACCGGGTTAAATCATAGTGTGAATGAGCCCTGAGTATCTGAGGAGGAAATCAACAACAATATTTAGTTCAAACACCTTTTTCCTTTTGTCTGAGTTGCCTACTGCTTGCACTTGAGCAAACTGAATACAAAGGCCCTTTCTTACTACAAAAACATAGCACTATGATTCCACTTTAGCTGTCATGATGTCATTCTATGGAATCCTGGAGTTTTGTAGTTTGCTTTGGCATTAGAGCTCTCCGGCTGAGACTTCTTCCATCCCACACCAAAACCCCTGGAAATCCTACGATTCCATTGGATGTTGCCATGGCAGTTGAAGTGGAATCAGAATGCTATAATTATGTAGCATGAAAGAGCCCTAACTCCATGTAACTATTCATTTTAGTATGCATCTGTGCCAGATGAGAGGTTAAAAGCCTTCCTTACCCATTGGCCAAAGGCAAGATGCAAATAGCTAAGATCTCAAGCCCAGGGATGAGTCAAGTTGACAATGCAGACTCTTCCAAACCCAGTTACACATGGAAGCACAATTCTTTTTTATGGAGGAGAATGAAATAGCATGGGAACTAGCATTACTAACCTGCTTAAAACCTCTACTTTTCTAATGCATCCTCCCTCCCTTGCAATTTGTTTTCTTCATCTTTCCCACCAATCTGCTTTGATAACCAGAACTGAAATTTCTCATTTTTCCTGCTCTGGAGAATGGTACAAACCATTATTCTGTGGTGGCACAAAAACAACTTCATCCTCAATTAAGAATTTGGGAAAGTTAATTTTTTCAGTCTACAGTGCCTAGAATCTAGTGGCTATACCTGGCTGGAGGATTCTGGGACTGTAGTCCAGAAAAGCAGCTTTTCCTAGCTTTGTCTTATTGCTGTAGCTCCTGTTGAGCAGACAGATTGCTGTACAAATGTAATGGAGAGAAGATCTACTTAGAAGAAATTATATTGTCTTTCTCCTTGCACTTTCGAGGCTGGCACTCACTTTATGAAGAAAAACAATGTTTAATAAAAGCTGTTCTGGTGGATAATTTGGATGTCGTACCTAGCACTTTTTTCTGAAAGTAATCAAGTGTTGACAGGAAACTGATATTTTGACATGGCTACCCCTGAATATTTTTCCCTTGGATTTCAAGGGTACAAAATTTATCACAGCTGGGGAATCCTAAACAAAAGGGAAACAAAGGACCGGGACTTAACTCTTTGAGGTTTTCTACCTTCAAGAATGGTAAAACTCTTTAATTGTACTACAACTTGGCAGGTTTTATTGCAACAGTACCTAATTTCTCCCCAGATGTAACAGTAGACTCTGCCAAGAAAAGAGCAATTAGTTTTGCACAGAGCACGGACATCTGGATCTCAAGAGAGGTTACTTTTCTGTTGCTATCCCAATTCTGTTGGGATTTGAAACTTTATTACCTGTTTTTAATTGCTCTTTAGGTGCATCTACACTGTAGAAATAATGCAATTTAATACCACTTTATCAACCATAGCCCCATCCTACAGAATTCTAGGATTTGTAGTTTTGTGAAGAACCAGCACTCTTCAGCAGAGAAATTTAAAGACCTTGTATCAATCTCAAAATTTCATAGGATGGAACTACAGCACTTAAAGTGGTGTCAAACTGTATTATCTCTACAGTATAGATGCACCCTTTGTCCCTAGTCCTCATATGGCCAGTAAGAGAAGTGTCCTCTGCCTGTATTAAAATCCCTCGATATCATCTTAACTGACATCTCAGATGAAATGTAGGCCTGTGATTCTGACATTATCATCCTTTTTATCCTGTATGATTTTAAACATCTTTGGCTAATGAAGAAGAGAGTGACACTTTAAAGGCTTGCATGATGTATTTTATGCTTTGGAGTTTGCCTGAAAATGGTATCACTGCTTGTGAATTTTGGATTTTGTTGTATAGTTGCAGCACAGCCAACACAGCTAGCCCTGAATATTTTTTCCCAGTGTTTATGTGGATAAGGGGATAGCCATACATACTAGCTCTTTCTCTCCACAGAGAAGAGTTTCAAAACTGTCTGAAAGTGCTACAGATATCTGTGAAACTGGGTGCACCACAGAGCTCTGTGGGTCACACAACAGAATACATTATACACAACACAATACATATGCACTGTTGAGTGTATGCACTGGAGCCAGTAACAGTCCTGTATTTTATATTCTCTCCAGGGCTTTAGAAACCTTTGTGTACAGTTCACATTCTCTGCAACCTGTGGGTGGTCACAGAATGACTGTTAGCTACATTTTATCAGCCTGCCCTCTTCCTTATCTCTGTGTTCTCTTGGATCAAACTCCCACTAGCTCATGGATTTTTCCCAGGTGATGAAGCAAAGTGTCTGTTATATACATACACTTTGGTTTCCTGCTGCTCCATGTTCTCATAATAGCTCTTCTGAGCAAACACAGCACTAGTAACAGGACTCCTCTTCTTTTCTTTTCTTCATTTTTTATGCCATTCATAAAGCTGTATTTCAGTCTAGGGGGATATGTTCACTGCTATACTGTTCTGACAACTATCACATAAATTGTGTGTGTGTGTGTGTGTGGATCACAGTTGGGGAGGGAAGCGTTAATCCTCCTGTCCCTCTGCAATGTGACACTCCACCCCCATCTTTGCAGCTATTAGACTTTGAAAAAGTGCCAACAGGATGTTTTTAAAGCTTAAGTGTTTCATGGAAAGGAAAGACTGAGGAAGGGATGCAAAAAAAAAAAAAAAAAAAAAAAAAGGGTAGAGAAAGGAGAACTGAACAGATTTAGAAGAATGTGACTTGGGGGCTCTGGTTCTATTTACGTATTTTTAGCTCCTGTCCTGCCTCCACCCACCTGAA